TTTTTTGCAGAATTGAGATCATTTCTAACTAAAACCCTGGTCCTTGGTGATTGAATAAAAGGCTAGTAATGTTGTGTCAAAAACATGTTTGGGTTATTTTTTACCCAGCTGTGTTTTGGTTCAGTGGTTTGGTTAGTATAGGAAAGAACACATGGCTAAATGACCCAGCAACATATTTCCATTAACCCTAAATATTTGGTTGATTTTATTAACCTTTACTGCAGTTACTATTAATGCTAACTAATTTGATTAATTTCATAGATGATTAATTTAATCCTTAATTTAACATTGCTTCTATTAAAACTAGTTTAACAGACCTAGAAGTTAAAAAATAAATATTTTAAAGTAATTTCAGTGTAATCAACAGGTATCCTGTTTGTACTTCAATAAAGCTTTATCCAAACCATGCATTGAAAAATGATAAGTTTATCTCAGTCAATTCCTGTGATTTTATTTAGTCTCTTTCATACAAAGTTGTCCTATAAATGGTGCTGTGGTAGATATGTGGACGAACACTGGACTAAAAAACAACCCACAGTTACAGCATACAAAAGCTGCGTGAGTCCAAGGTAAACCCGCTGACTTTGTTTGAGCCAGCAGCTAATGCAAAAAAACTACTCCAAATAATCCAGAAATGACCCAATATTCTCAATTCAGCAATTAAGTTAAAATATAACCTTAGATTTTTAAGAGTGTGTTGAAATTTGTTGTGTTGATGTCCTCAGGTCTCCCCATCCTGGTGATCTCAGTGGGCTGTGGAGCAGCAGCTTTTATAGTACTTTGTGGAATCACTGTTGGAGTGGTTTGCTATAGGGTAATTATCCTAAAACTGACATTTTTAAAGAACAGGAAATATTGTATTTAACTAATGTTCTATGCAAATACTCCTGACCAGTTGGTTTACTTAATGGTTTACACATACATGCACATGTTTTCCCACTAATTATTTATCTTGACCAATGTCCCTTAGAAGAGGAAAAGAAACCTCAGAAAGACTGCGCTGGCCACTGGAAGACAGAACAGACCCAAGAGCACATGCACAGACAGCGACGGTGATGGCTATCTGACTGTGAAATAACCTATACGCAATTGTAGTATTGGACATTCGATTTACTATGCTGATGAATTATATTAAATTGACTGCTTTTAAAAAGACACTGAAAGATAGAAGAATTGCTTGGAAAAAATAACTTTTGTTGACTGGTAGGTAGTTATAAGTTTAGTATTAAGAAATCTTCCACTTTACACTATCCACTACCCTAAACAGAACAGAGTTTTACCATTTTTAGTCCACCAAGCCGATGTCTGTTTCTGGTGAGAGCACTTTTTTAGTTTAGCTTAGCATAAATAATTGAATCAGATTAGATCATTAGCATCTCGCTCAAAAAAAGTTTTCCTATTTAAATCATGAGACTTTTCTTAACCCTCTGGGAGATGTAACATGAAACTATTTTCAAAAAAGTGGAGTGTCCCTTTAAATCATTCTTGCTTTTATGACTTTTATTAACTTTTAATTGTACTATAATATGTATAATTAGTGTTTTGTCCCTTTAACCGTCGACTTTTTCATGATAAAAAAAGTAGGATAAAGATGGAAAGAAAGAAAGAATTGTATTACTGGTGTGATAATTTGTTTATTGGCAGTTCAGTTTAATCCTCTGATCTGGCTTTAAAATGTGATGAATTGGGATAAGCACCATTTATTTTATTGAAAAACAATTAATTGTAAATAAAGTCTCCTTTGTTGATCTGAAGCATCTGGAGTAAAAAAGTGAAAAAACATTCAACATAATTCATCAAACCAATCTCCATTTCTCTTGTTGTTCAGATAGTGGCAGTGTACAAGAGTAAATGTGCCCGGTCTTATGGATAAATCACTGTGGATTTCTGTGTAAATACTGTAATTATAAATAAATATTACTGTAAGTATTATAATTAATAGTTTGGTTAGGAACTGAAGTAAGTAAGGAAAGTTTCTCTTTCTATTTCTGCAATGAGAAATGCTTTATGTACAGGACATCTGATTCACTTACTGATGTAAACCACAAAGCTTCCTGAGTCCGGAGTGATCTTTCTAGAATAAACACACTGCTCATCGGCAGGAAGAGTCGACTGATTGATCTTTTTTTTTTTGCTTTGTTTAACGTCTGGTTTCCACTCATTCTGATCATTTGGCTCCTTTTTAAGCACTGATTACATCAATTGCTAACTGGCCAAATTAATCATGTTAAACAGTATATTCACACAACACAGTCACCTAAAATAAACAGGTCACAGGTCACCGCTTTCTATTGAGAAACAGATGAAGATTTATTTAAGCTAGGTAAAATACTTAAATGCTAGGCGAATCAGATAAATTCAAATTTAGATTGTTGAAATGTACAAATGTTTTTGAAATATTTTGAAAGTTGTAACTTACAGGAACAAATAAATTAAACTCAATTAAATGTACACAACATCACAGATTTTCTTTCTGTTGCTTGCTATGTTTGAGACATTGTCACCTTGGAATTATAAGGTTCTATCTGCGTTCTGAATGATTTTGAGATATTGAGTTTTAAAGTTTTTGCATACCATATAGCAAAAAGTATGTGTGTAACATTTGTTTTTTAAATAAAAAGTCTTAATGTAAACAACTTAAAAAACATCCCATAATGTAAATAAGTTGTCATTTAATAAAAATAAGTCAATAACTCAACTTTGACAAAAATGTCAGCTAGAACCTTATAATTCTTAAGTGACAATAGGATGAATGCAACTTTTTGTTTGTTTTGTATTTCAAATAAGTGAAATTTAAAAGTTATTATTGGTGATTTATCACTCAAGCTTTCTTAGAAGCTAACTGACTCGAGGAGTAGTCTTATGTCTTAAGTATTCAGTGTCCATTTATCTTTCAGAAATCATTATAATATGCCGATTTTGTGCTCAAAAACAATTTGGATTATTATTAATAATTAAAACAGTTAAGCTGCTTCATGTTTTTGTGGAAGCCACAATATATTACCATTCCAAAGTACACACACACACACACACACACACACACACACACAAACACACACACACACACACACACACACACACATTACAAACATTATTTCGCAGTGTTATTAATTGTTTTATTTTAAATGAATGAAATTATCAAATGATTATATACTTTTGAAAAAAAAAACTTGAAAAATTAGAATGTATCACAGTTTCCACAAACAAATAGGTTTGAAACTATAAATAAAAAATAAATATAAATATACATTGATACAATTTATTAGAACAATAATACCATATACAGTGCTCAGCATATATAAGTACACCCCTCACAGATCTCTTTTAAATTCATATTTTTAATAGGAAGCTACACAATATTACATTTGTGCATATTGTTACAAAATAGGAATCAGTTTTTTTATACTATTTTTGACTCTTTTTCTTTTAATCAAACAATTATTTGTAAAGGTCATGTAAGGGTCATATATTAACTGAACTACTACTGTTATGTGTGGGATGCTGTGCATACTAATTAGCATTTTTGCAGAAGTGGATAAATGCTGGTCCAAAATTAAACTCTGCAGAAACTTCCTGTCTGAAGAAAGGTGTTAAAACTGAACACAGAACACAGAAAGTCGTATGCTTTTAATGTTGTGCAGAAAATTCATAGAAAAAGAGGAAGTATGTCTGGGGTGCGGCCAATGGAGGACTGAACAATGACTGACAAATTACGAATTTTACTAAGCTTCACCTGTTAATATCAGCTGCCTATATAAGTTGTAGTCAGGAAAAGAAAGTTGTTGTGCACCTCCTTAATGTAACGTTTGCATTGCATTGAGGATAACAGAATTCTGTGAATAGAATTATTCATTTCTCTCCAATAAATTGTTACGATTTTTGACATTGAGGAAAAATTTCTCCTGACCTTTTTTCTTGAACACGCATGGAATTGATTGTATATTCCAACAATATACATTGCATTAGTCAGCACTAAAGCCAAATCTGGAGCTTATCTAACAAAATAGCTTTTGTTATTTTGTATTGTTTTAGAAAAATATTGAATACTAATTTTAAAAAGAGGAAAAATCAAGAGAAGCAAAAAATTTTAACTTTTGGTTGAAAATTTGTTGTAATTTTTTTTTTGAAATTTAGCTTGAATTTAATTGTATTATTTTTCAATTTCTAAATGTTTGGTGACTAAAATATTATTGTAATAAATATATGTTTAATAAAACTGTTTTGTTTAAATGCACTAAAATACATTGTCTATATTCACTGAAAAATGGATAAAAACATTCATTTTCAAATGTGGTGTACTTGGTTATGCTGAGCATTGTATATATAATCATTAATACTATGTAATACTATATGTAAAGTTCAGAAATATTATTTTATTTTGCATGTAGACTTATTGTTTGTTTTTCACATAAACAATAACAAAAGGCTTAAAAGTGAAAAGACCATCTGTATGCAAATGATGTCACAAATGTGCTGTGCAATCATAATTCCAAGATCAAGCCTAGGTAATAAGAACTGTGTCTGCTATTTCTAGCATTTTAAATGCCAGCACAAAACACGAGCCTCTGAAGCTGTTTAAAAACGCTTACTCGGAGAGTTTTCTAAATGGCCTCTGTGTTTTCACTTGGATTATTTTCTGTCTGAACTTGTCAGATTACGCTTCTTTGACAAGCACAAACAACGATAGACGTCACCCATATTATGAATAATCAATTTTATTAAGCTATCCAGTAATACAGGAAAGTTGTACTGTTTTTAGCTGTGGATTTAGGTAAAGTATTTTTGAATGTAACTTAATCTTGTCAAAGTAGGCTAATAATACAAGAATCAGTATTCCATTGATGAATTCTCGATCTTGTAATGATGAAACACATGAGAAAATGAAGTTTTTGCTGAACCTGATTGGCTGTAAACACTTTGCTCATCTTTACCGTCAGCCAATGAGAGATCACCTCTGTGCTTGGACGCGCTTTAAAACACCCTTAGATGTAAACATTGACAGTCAAACATTTCTTTCGCTTGTGAAAGGTAAGTTTATATCTTTAATTTGCTGTTACTCTTCTTCTTAAGAAACGTTGCTTGCTAAATTTATGTGAGGCTTATTATTGTTTCTAGTGCACAGATTTTGATGTGAAGTTCACCTAGTCTAAATGTTTTTCTAAGTTATTAAAACTTAAAGTTGAGCAATATATTGTAAGTTGTTTGCATGCAGCTTTGAATTATTTTGAATGCATTTAAAATCGCTATTCCTAGTAATTGGTTAAAATGTTATTTTATTCTTGCAACTTTGACATTCCTTCTAATTGAGTCTTGTTTTTTTTTTCTGTCCCAGTCTTGCAGGCAGAATGCTGTTGTTTGCCTCACTCGTCACACTGTGCATAAGCGCAGTGTTTGCTGCTCCAACCCTAGACCAGAAGTTAGATGACCACTGGCACCTCTGGAAGCGCTGGCATGAAAAAAGCTATCATGAGGTGGGAATATTGTAATAGATTAAAATGAGTGTCAAGCAATATTTGTCTTTATAATAAAATGGCTTTTTGCAAATAGATAAAATGTCTGTTTCCTTGACCAGAAAGAGGAGGGCTGGAGGAGAATGGTTTGGGAAAAGAACTTGAAAAAAATTGAGCTACACAACCTTGAGCACTCAGTGGGCAAACACACCTTCAGACTGGGAATGAATCAATTTGGTGACATGGTGAGCAGTTTAGTAATATAGTCATTATTTCTATTTTGCTTTATACAATTCAAATTGTCAAATCAGCTTTACAAAGAAAAAATGTCATCGAAATCAAGTGTGGCGTTTCATCAGTGTGAAACCAGATCATTTTTTTAAGCACATTCAGTTCCAGGAAATGCAGTTTTTTGTTAAATGATTTAATCACAGTCAGTAACTTAAATCGAAGATTTACACTGCAAAAATGCTTTTCTTAGATTTTTTTCTTGTTTCTAGTCTAAAATTTTAAATCAAGAAGCATTTTCTAGACAAGCAAAACAATTGTCTTTTTTTTAAGAATATGCCAAAATTTCTGAATATTTCTTTAAACAAAAAAAATTCTTGTTTTTCAATTTGACATGAGATGATTTTGTTTACCCCATCGGCAGATAATTTTGCTAAAGAGTAAAGAAAAAAAAAATCTTGAAACATTTTTTAGATATTTAGACTAAAAGCAAGACCAAAAAAGTTAGAAAACCAAGTATGAGTTTAAAAAGTTCAACTAAAAAAATTTTTTTGCAGCATAAGCCCCTTATACTTTAAATATGTCATAGAATGCATTGAAACAATGTGCTTGTTTTTTGACCATATTTTGACAGATGATGAATAGTAATGAGCTCTTCTCTGATGCTCTCACACACAGTGTGATGTATACTCTAAAATGTACATGTGCAAAATAATCTATAACATATCAGTAAGCAAATAAATTAAATGGAGTAGATTCCTTTCAACTGAAGTGGTAAAGAGGTTTATTTTAGCAAGGAGTTGTTGTCAGAGTTGCATGTTTGTTTGTTTGTTTGTTTGTTTATTAAAATGTGCTCCTATTGGCCTGTTTTTGACTGGAATTTATATGAGAATAAGGAAACGATGACTTGTAATGCTCATTGTATGCCATTTCCATGCACTTTTATTCAGCTGTATCTATATTTTGAACTTGTATCCACATTTTCATTCTATTGCACTGTAAAGTTACATTTTTATTCTCAAATGAGTTTCTTTTGATCCTTTTTTAAATTCTAATTTAAGGCTGACTTCTAAAACCTTTTTTCTACATTCTCTCTGTTAGACAAATGAGGAGTTCAGACAGGCAATGAATGGTTATAACCGTGACCCCAACCGGAAGTCAAAGGGCTCATTGTTCATAGAACCCAGCTTTTTTACAGCCCCTCAACAGATTGACTGGAGACAGAAGGGCTATGTTACTCCTATCAAAGACCAGGTGAGCTCCAAGTCATGTGCAAATGTTTTCTGATGAATTAAAGATGCATCTATTGAAATTCTTATACAGCTAAAATATAACTTCCTTCTAAAGTTCAGCATGTGTGTCTTTACTGTTTGGTGACTCGTCTGTCCTGTGGTCCTAGAAACGGTGTGGATCTTGCTGGGCTTTCAGTTCAACAGGTGCCTTGGAGGGTCAAGTCTTCCGGAAAACCGGAAAGCTGGTTTCTCTGAGTGAGCAAAACTTGATGGACTGTTCCAGACCACAGGGCAATAATGGTTGTGATGGAGGCCTCATGGACCAGGCCTTCCAATATGTTCAAGACAACAACGGGCTGGACTCTGAAGAGTCATACCCTTATCTTGCAACGGTAAGAACCATTTTTAAATTTTAAGGGTTTAGCTCCTGTGTCATTAGTCATGTTCCCATATGTTGTAATTTAGTTGACTTGAATGATAGATTGCTATCACTGTTTGCATATATGATCTTTTTTTTTCCTTGACAAGCAACCATCTTGTGACTTTACCTCAGCAGAACTTGTGTTTGGATAGCCAGACTTAATAACTGGACCAGTCTTCATTTCACACCATCTCAATTGTTTTGCTTATTTAGTCAAACTCATTGAAATCATTTGGTTAAATTTACCTCTCTAGCATAGATGTTTCCAAATCGGCACCCCCAGTTTCAACAATTTAAGTTTTTATAATTTTTATGCCAGTTTCCTAGCATGTTTCTCATCCTCTTTAAGTTATCTGAAGATTATCAAAAATTTACATTTAACTTTATAAAAATAACGTTGAGTAGAGACCACTTAATAATTTGAGACCTCACTTCTAATGTTCCTTTTGTTTTGCTTGCAGGATGATCAGCCATGCCATTATGACCCCCGTTATAGTGCTGCAAATGTCACCGGTTTTGTTGACATCCCCAGTGGTAAAGAGCATGCTCTTATGAAGGCTGTTGCTGCTGTGGGTCCTGTAGCTGTTGCTATTGATGCAGGACATGAATCCTTCCAGTTCTATCAGTCTGGTGGGTAACTCTGTTGTTGGAATTGGATTTTTGCTTAAGTGGTAGCTTATGCACAACTATAACCAAATGACATGCCCTAACTTGCTCTGAAAGTCTGAGGTTTAACTCCTTTTCTAATACTGAACTTTAGGCATCTATTACGAGAAGGCATGCAGCACCGAAGAACTTGATCATGGAGTCTTGGTGGTTGGTTATGGTTATGAGGGGGTTGATGTTGCTGGAAGGAGGTACTGGATCGTGAAGAACAGGTACGATTTACTTAACAACATTATTATTATTATTATTATTATTATTATTTTAATGCATACATTTTTTGTTTTGCTGGCACTACCTTAACTGCATGTTTATTAATTTCCTTTAGCTGGACTGACAGATGGGGTGACAAAGGCTACATTTACATGGCTAAAGACCTAAAGAATCACTGTGGCATTGCGACATCAGCCAGTTACCCCCTAATGTAAAGCAATTAGAGCTTTCTCTGCATTCTGGAAATGACTTTTGTTTGATTTTAATGTGAATTTGTGTTCAATTTTATCAATGTTTTGCTGTTAGGCCCAAGATGTTTTAGACAAGTCTTACAGTTTTAGTCTAGAACACTGACAATATTTGTATCAAGTGATTACTAAAGATTTAGTAACCTGTTTTTGGTTGACCCAGTGAACCATTCTGCATTGTGATGCAAGTCATTTCACTACATCTAAAGCTTAAATGTGAGTATGGTAACAAGCTGCTTTAATGTAAGAGGCGATCCATGAATGTACAAATGCTGTGCCTTTATCTTCTGTACTTAACCTGTGAATGGATGAATAATAAATATTCTGTCATGGAAATCCTGTGAAGTCTGTATTTTTTTCCATGGGGATTTCATGCAAGCATGGCTAACTTGTTAGAAGGCCATAATGTGGTTTAAAGGTGTTTCTTGGACCTCTTTGTTGATCTTAATGGTGCATAAATCCAATTTCACATTACTTTTAAAAATTTGAGACTAAGCTGTTCTGACGTCATAAAATTCTGTGGAACTGGATGATTATGAATCACATTTAAGGGTACAAATCTCAACAATCAGCAACAGTTGTAATACTTATTACATTATCAAAAATTAGCATATGAGTGTCAACATTTAATGCTAATACATGGTAAATTGTATTGGTTGACCCATGAAAAAATGCCGGATTAGAGAAGGCGATTAAGCATTTAATAATACTTTATGTGAAGCAGTGGTGTTCAACCTCTTCAAATGTGGTTTGAGGGTATCACTATAGAAACCAATAAGGCTGGCATGATATTTAACCATTTCCGCTAAACCTTTCACTCTTAATATCTGCTTGTGTATCCGTAGTTTTTAAGGTTGCGGTCATATGTCAGTTTAGATCAGCATCTTTTTTTAATCATTTTTTTTTTCTGGTTCCAGAGATTAAGGCCTTTTCTTGTTTATCTAACTGCTATTTATACATTTTATTCAATAACATCCAATATGTTCGAAGACCATTAAATCCTAGATTTTTATCTATGATATAAAAGCCTGGTTTTTAGGATGTTCTGTTAAGACAATACCCCAAAAATTTAATTACCCAATTTACTCTCATGTGAGTTTTTCTTTCTTTTGTTGAACAAAAAATATGATTTAAAAATGCTTGTTGCTGGCAACATCCACTTCCATAGAAAAATAAATTACTGCGAAAGTGCCAGATACCTGGATCGAAATATCTTCTGTGTTCAACAGAAGAAAGGTTTTGAACAAGTGTAAGGTGAATAACGATGACAGAAATTACATGTTTTGGGTGAAATATCCCTTTAAGTTGAAAGATCATTTAGCATTTTCTTAGCATCGGAAATAACCCACCTACTACTAGGTAAATTGTGCGCGCGCACGTTCAGGTGATCACACGCACTTTTTATCGCGAACTATTTGAAAGTGTTTGTCAACTTGAAACTGCCGCTGTCACGCTGTCAGAGAAACAAAAATGGCATTTTTTTCGACATCACAAAACACCTCTTTGGACCAGGTTAGTATTTTTGTTCTCTGTGAAATGACAGTGAAAAAACATTTATGCTGCACAACAAATTGGTAAAACAAATGTGGATGCCTGAAGCTCCACAAAAAAGGTGCTCATGAAGCCCACAATTTCTGAGAAATATTCATATTTACATACGTTTTCTCTTTTAGCACGCTATCCAGGGGAAAACAGCGAATACGGTTATAAACTGGGATGTAGTTTGGAGTCGCATCGAGTTTTGATGACACAAGGAAAGGTAGGCCTACTGTACACCTAGATTCAGGAGCTCTCGAAACTAACGAAAAAGCCAGAGTTTCTATCTTGAACATCATGCTGACGAGTAAAACCTCTTTAAATCACAATCTATCATTGCTTGTTGGTTACATGTCTAGACTTTGACTGAACGCTGTTTAGCTTGGCTTTGAAGTTTGAGCTGTAAATATGAGAGGTCAGAAAATGCTGTGTTGGAGAGTCTTTTGAGTCACGTGCTCTGCCATTCCGTGGCATGTTGTAAGTGTAAGCAGCAAGTGTGCCGCAAGCCTACGTTTGAGTGAAGGTTTCGGCCGTTAGATCGCCCCCTGGGGGCTGGCTGCAGTACAAGTCATAAAGCCCGCCTCCTCCGTGTTAATGAAGGAGACTTGAGCCCAAATAAAAAAATTAATTACACTTGCAATAAAATGTCCCGAAAGATGGTTCTGGTGGATTAAGGCACTGGTTATTGTGCTGAAATAGGTCCAGATCCTCATTTTTGTAAACAGTTTGTTTTTAGCAGTAATTTAATGCTGGGCGTGTCATCGTGATTAACAGCTGTGATTGACAGTTTCTCAAAGCGCGGCGTCTGAGCTTCGGTAGGAGACTGAAGTGTTATTACTAGATTTCTGTGATATTTTACTATGACAAAATGAGTTCAGCAGTAAACTACAGTTTCTGACATACATGATCTGGTGGAACACTGTTTATTCGCTAAGGTCAAAGCTTTTTTCGGGCTTTATTAGTTTGCTAATACACGCCTAGCCACCCAGATAGCAAAATACACTGGGGCCAGTTCTTGCCTGCCGGAGACTTACCCCTCAGACTGACTACCTCTGCTGGACCTACTCCGGATGCCTGGACTCACTGCCCGATTCCAGCCTGAGTCAATTGAGCCAGCAGGCGCTGCCGCATGCGAGCCGGAATCAGCCCGCGACGCCGCGACTAGGTTATGCGCTGATGCCCGGAGCTGGCGCGATTGAATCTTCATTATATAAAACCCTCACATTTGTTAACGTTATTACACCCATTTTTGTTGATATAACAACAAACGCATGCTACTATGTGAACGCAAAGTGTATCACTGAGTTTAACCTTTGAATAAAGATGCAAACAGCATAGCAATTATTTAAATAAAGGACAAAATAAATAACAATAAACCTGTATCGATTGCACAAGTATTAAATAATAATAATAATAAATACGAAAATGACAATAAAACTGCACAATAAAATAAACCCATTTAAGTACGGGGTATACAGGAGATCGTTAGCAGTAATTCTCTTTGTGTTTAAATAATAATCTCCACGTTGATCTCCTGTAAGGTTATTTGAACTTGCTTTATAGGACGTCTCTGCATTTTAAGTTTTGGCATGTTATTAAGTGATCTACTGAATTTGCTGTTATAAATCATTATAAGGTTCTTGAAATCGAATCTTATATAACCTAATAGAGCTGTAAATGTTAGATATTATTTATTTACATCATTTACTGTTGGCGTTTTATTTGAACACTCCAGCTAACATTAAAAAGAATGTAAATTCCTCGTTGCCAGATATAATGAAGGCATCGAATAAACCAAATGAAAACGGAGGCAAAAAAATTAAATAAATAAACAATTCAAGCGAAAATGAATAAACAATATACTAGTGATGTTACAGCAGATAGACGTTGTATTAATAGTGCAAAGTTTTTTTGCACAAATTGACAAATTGCAGGGTTGGGATGTGTAAATATCCTGTTGATATTTAGTAATCTTGCTGTATTTATCTTCTAAACGCACGATTGTTCCCGCATGGTAAATCGTTATGGTGTGTAGGCTATATTTTGGGTTCTGTTGATGCTAATAAAAATAAAAACCTTTCCTATAATGTATGTGTTGTTTATGTGTTATTGTTCATATTTTACAAGTGTTATTTCTACCCCTATGAAGATAACAAATACCAACAACAAATATAACAATAAGAGAATATATTATTTGTGCTCATATTCAGGCTAGAGTGTATAAAAGATCGTTTATTTCTGCAGTCCACCATGTATTGCTTTTATTAAAGTTTAACAGCTTACATCACACCGTTTTTAAACCGTATATTATTGTGTTTTTTTAATGTAAGTGCTTCTATTTACATCAGTGAGCGTTTGTTATAGTGCAGACACCGGCAGTCGAGTGAGAAGTTCGGGGGGCGTGGTTGATTTTACATAAAGCGTTTGGTTGGAAGCTCGACTCTGCTCATTATCGCGGCTCCTCCTCTGGCTCCATCAGACAGTCCTTCTGCGCATGTCTGGCTCCAATTTCAGCAGTCTTTTGCGACAGTTTGTGCCCGTCAAGCAGGCGTTTTGCCCTCAAGGCGTTCAATGGCAAAAGGGGCTGTCGCGTCGTCCATATTTTTTACAGTCATTGGTAAGCAGCATCTGGTCAAGTTATGATATATCACGATGCACGGCTGTTTAGCTATATTTATTATTATCATCAGGTGTTAGTCACTTAAGTAATTATTTTTTGTTTACATAATTCGCAATGATAATATCATGAAACATCATCTGTCAAGGTTGGCCCATGTCATGTCAGTGTTGACGAGTACAAGTAGTGATTAGGATTTTTAATTGTATTTCTGGGACATTTTCCTCGTTCATTTATTCGAATAATCACAACAACTAGGAAAGGGGCAAAAGTAAGTTACAGTACAACAAACATTTGTGTGTCGAGATCGCCCTCTGCTGGTGCAGACTTTAACTAACATCCAAGACAAATAAAAGGAAGCAAAATGGATTCAATGTATATTGTTTGATATTAACCAGTAAAAAGCAGTCTTTCTGATCAAGCTGTCGTAGCAAAGGATGACTGAGATATTTTTATTGTTCAGACTAATTGAATCGTGTATGTCTAAAACTTTCTGACATGCAACATCAAACCGAATACAGTAGCCTATTTAAAATTTCAGAGACGAGCAAAGAAACAAAACAAATGTATTTTGATTGGGGAAAAAAGATGATCAAGATAAACTTTAAACATCTTGACCTTTTTTTAAATGTTACCTTTTAGAAATGTCATGTACAGACATTTAAGTTTAATTTGGTGAAAATATAATACAATTATGAACCAGGTTTGAAGAACACATTGACGTTCCATTACTTGTTGAATGCGGACCAGCGTTTATATATATATATATTTTTTTATATATTATATATATTTTTTTTCTCCTGACCTTTTATCTGATCCTTATTGCAGCTTTAATGTTGTGTTTGTGTATTGTGTACTACAGTAATTGTGGTGTTTCATTTTTAAATACTGTATTATGAACACAGCTCATAAGTGCCAAGTTCGTATTATTCATTATTCATTGAATTGGTTGTAAAAGAGGTTTGTCCTCTGATCATAGTAAAAATGCAGCACCACCAAGATTTTGTTATGCACAGTAGGCATGGGACTAGAACCATTTTCAAGGTTTACCACAGTTTGTAAGAGTCAAGGTTTTAAAACGACCAAACCTTTCGTTTATACCATTCCAATAGTGTATTTCAGTTTTCTTGCCATGTTTTTTAAGAACATCTGAAACACAAATTGCTAATAAAAAAACATCCAA